GTTTCCTTTGCTTGCTTCCTAATCTGCTCTGAATTTCTGCAGCTATCTTTGCACTCTATGAACTTGTGGTTCCTGCTCTTTTCTTAATGGTTCAACATGCTGTCCAGGACGTATGACTTCCTGTTGGTTCTTCCCCCTTCTCTCTCACTAAAACTGCTATATAGTCTGTAAGTACCATGCTGGATAATCTACAGCAGTCTTTACCAACCTCTGGTGCCTGCAAGATGTTTTGGACCACAACTCCCACCCTTCCCAGCCAACATGACTAATGGGCTGGAATCATGGAAGTTGTAGTCCACAACATCTAGAGGCCATCAGGTTGAGAAAGGCTGGTATACAGAGAAGTAGCTTTCAAACTTTCTACCTTTGGGGAGCCTTTTCCATATTGATTTATTGGTTGAATAATTCCTGTAGCACCTCTGTCTGTTAGGACCCAACTAGGCATGACAATGATGGATCTGAGTGTTTCAAGCTCGAGTATGCCGTAATAGTACCAAAAGCAGGAGGTGAGGGTTCTGGTTGAAAGTGCAAAGGATGAGGTGTGCAGAACCCTCATGGAAGAGGTTTGCAGAACCCTCCTTTTCTCTGTAGCTTATATCATCACAGTCTCTCCCTCAGCTGGGCTCCAACACTGGAAATGAGCCCAGCTGGGAGAAAACTCAAGTCCTTGGAGAGAGAGGCTGAAGGGAGGCAATAGTAGCAGGTGAACTTGTCACTCTTGTGCCCTCTTTGCATCTTACATCAGGCTCTCACCTGCTGCTTTCTATGTGATTGTGGCTGATCTGACTCTACATTCCCTGAAGTGCTGCCATTGAATCTAGTTTGGCCCTTACAGAAGATCATGGGGCATGTTCTAAAGCAGGTGTAGGGAAACTGAGTCCTTAAGAGTGTTGTTGGACTGCAAATCTCATCATCTCTGACTATTGGCCATGCTGTCTGAGAATGTTGGGCGTTAGCATCTTGAGAACATTTGGAGGGCTACTTCTTCCCCACCCCCATTCTGTAATGCACAGTCAGTTCAACCAGGGTGCCGGCCTGGCCTCTTGGTCCTCATCCTCTAGGACTGAGAGTGAACCCTGGAAAACTTCAAACCCTTCTGTGTTACTGCATGTTGCAGGGCAAAAATAGGTAGGGAAACTGCCTTTCGGGTCTATTATTAATGATCTTCTCATTGAGGGACCCCTGATAATATAGCTTGACAACCACTGCTAAAGAGAATAATAGGCTACAGCAGGGGTGTCAAACTCAAATTCATCGGGGGCCGCATCAGCAGTTTGGTCACCCTCAAAGGGCCGGTTGTATCTGTAGGACTTTATCAAAGTTATTTTTCCTTAGGCACTGGTGTGTGTTGTCTTGAACCTATACACTATTTAATATACCTATTCCAGTACGATTTTAAATAAGAATAGAAGAAGAAATAATAATGATTTTTTAAAAAGATGACGAGATGGGATTCCAGGCAGACTGGAGCTCCAACGGGGAGGAGACAGGAGCCTGTCCCAACAGAGAAGAGCAGAAGCAAATGTTGCCTCCCCCCGCCCTGCTGCCGCACTCAGGAGTCGGAGGATACAGAGCTGCAGTTTGGACAGCAGCAGTTTCTTCCTTGCAAGGGAGCCCAGCGGCACTGCGGGCACGGGTGGCCAGGGTGTCCTGCTGGGGCCCCGAGCTGCTGCAATTGCTCCCGGGGAGGGGGCTATCCGCCAAGTCTTCTGGCCTGGAGAAAGCCAATGTGTTGGCATGGGGAGGGGGGCGGTGTTTCGTAGCCAGGCTCCTGCAGCCAAGTTGCTGGCAGGCTCCCACTTTGCTCCAGCCGCCCAGATGCCGGCGCGGTCCTCTTCGAGGTGGGAGGCGCCCCTGCTTTGCGGTGTGGCACACTGCCCGCCCACCCGCCTCCCTCCACCCCACTCTGCGCAGCTGAACCGGCAGCAGCTTCGCCTCTCCCAGCCCAGCCGGGGCGCGCCGCCTGCGGCAGGACCTGTGCCGGGTCCCCGCTCTCCACTCGCCTCCGCCGTTCCCTTCCCCGCCTGCCGGCCCCGCTACTTACCCACCAGGGCGACCCCCAGCCAGCCCCTGGCCCCGCCGCCCGCGCCCCCGGCCATCTCCTCGCCAGCTGCAGCGCCGCAGTGGCCTCTTCTTGCGGCCTGAGCGAGTGAGCGAGCGGCGTCCCAAGCATGGCTCTCGCTCCCTGCACTCGCTGCCAGCCTCTGCGGCTCTCTTGGGCTCCAAAAGTTGCCGTGCGCGCAACCCGCCCCCTCGAGCAGCCGCGCCTGGGAGGCTCCGAGGGGCGGAGGCAGCCGGCTCCAAGCTCGGCTTCGCAGGACCACCTCCTCCGCAGCGAGCCCCGGACTGGACCGAGCGAGCAGAAAGCCTCTTTGCCCGGCCTGCGAGGCAGATGAAAGCTGTGGGACCGGCCGGTAGGCAGCGCTAACGGGGCGCGTCGGTTGGAGCCCTGTCTGCAAGCAGGCAGGGAAGGCTGTTTGTGTGGGTCACTTTTTAGAAAGGCAGAGAGCCTCCGCCGGAGTGCGGACCCCAAAATCTGGGTCGGGACCAGTAAAAAGGACGAGAAGCTCGCTTCCTCGCCCTTGATGCCACAGGCCACATGACGAGGTCTGGCGGGCCGGATTCAGCCCACGGACCTTGTGTTTGACACCCGTGGGCTACAGTGACTGTGGCTGAATGTGGGTCCACTGTTTGATGCTTATCCTCTGAAGCAGAATATTCTAAGTTCAAAATAAGGTCTGCTTATGATGGCTCAGCAGGAGGCCAGTATTATTGACATATGAGTTTAGTCCTTTGAGAACAGAACTCTTTGTCAGACAGGCTCTCCTAATGGCAGATGTGTCAGATGTCCCAGGTGTGTTATGCTGTTGAGAAAATAGGATGTTTCTCTCCCCATGGAACTGTAGATAACCTCCACACTACGAAGCTTTGAGCTTTAAAAATCTATTTATATCAGGCTGTTCCCCCCCCCTTAATTTAGCTCTTATGATATGACTTTTATTTTGAGAGTTGTTTTACAGTGCATCACTTTCTTATCTGCCAGGAGTAATGTTGCTGCACTATTTATTTAATTGACCTGCATGTGTTTTATGGGCTTTTTTTGCATTGTTGTTTTATAATTTGTATAACTGTTGGTTTTGTAGTGTTTTGTGTTTAGTGATATGTACCGGTATATCACCTTGTGTGGGCTGTGCTTAAAAAAAGCAATTATAAATGAGGAAATGATTATAATGATTATAATAACAACAATAATGCAATACTCTTTAGCATTCATGAATGCTTTGTCTGGACCAGTGTTATGGCACAGGAAAATTGTTTTTGCATAGTTACCCTAGAAGTTCTGCTGAAGGGTGCTATGTATGTGAGAGAGACAGATTAGGTGGCACTAAGCATTGCAGCCTGCACCTTGGCAAGCAAAGATGGCTGGTTTGACTTGGGAGGACAACAGAATTTCCTGGGCCTGGTACACTGAATGTGGGTTGGACCTCCTGCAATCTGTTGGCAAGAACTGCTGCTTATACATTAACTTAACCTGGTCTACCTCACAGGGCTATTGCAGATATAAGACAAGGGAGGGGAGGAAAACATATACAGCCTTGAGCTCCTGGGTGGAAAAGCAATATACAAATATATGCCACATAGCGCATAGAATGGAATACAGTGGTACCTTGGTTCTCAAACATAATTCGTTCCAGAAATCCATTCCAAAACCAAAGCGTTCCAAAACCAAGGCATGCTTTCCCATAGAAAGTAATGCAAAATGGATTAATCCGTTCCAGACTTTTAAAAACAAACCCTTAAACAGCAATTTAACATAAATTTTACTATATAACAAGATCATTGATCCATAAAATGAAAGCAATAAGCAATGTAATGCAGCCACACAATCAGTCAATCAGTAGCTGAACTGAGTTCCACACAGTCACAAAAGCAAAAAAAGCCACAAAAAGAAAAACACAAAATAGATAGCAAAAACAGATAGATCTCAGTGTAATACTCAAAACAGAAGTGTGGCACTGAAAACAGAAGCATAACACTCAAAATGGAAGTGTGATCCTGAAAATGGAAGTGTGGCACTCAAATCGGAAGCGTAACAATCAAAACGGAGCACGTTTGGCTTCCGAAAAAAGTTCGCAAACCATAAGAGTTACTTCCAGGTTTGTAGTGTTTGGGTTACAAGTTGTTTAAGTACCAAGGTGTTTGAGAACCAAGGTACTGCTGTACACTGTGGAATGCGCTCCTGCAGAAGGCAGTGGTAGCCACCAGCTTGGATGGCTTTAAAAGATTAGACAAATGCATTGAGGACAAGGTTATTAGTGACTGCTAGTTCCATACAATAAGTATTATGCTAGCCACAGGCTGTGACTACCGTGTAACAGCTTTTATGAAGTTTCTGCTAATATTTAGTTGAAATATGCTTCTTTGGCATTTCCACCCATTAGTTCTAGTCCTGCTCTCTGGAACCTTCCAGAGAAGTTCCTCACAGTTTAAAATCCTTAGAGACACATAGTGTAGAAGGGGATTTAAGGCAGCTGCCGGGAAATAAAAAACATGGAGAAATGGACAAAAGATGAGCAGCTTGGTCTAGTTTAGGAACAAGCTATTGAGGTACTGGGGGGCTGGTTCCCAGCTGCCAGTCTGTGTTTTATAGACAGCTTTAACATTAGACACAGCTGGGTTTACTACCCCATACAATTATTTTCTGCAAGTTTGTGGTCCTTCGTTAAATTTAATTTCCTACGCAGGGCACAGACATATGCACATGCCGTCAACTCAGAGCGAAAGAGAAAAATGTACAAGTAGGGTGGGCAAATAGGGCACACATACCAAGGTTAATAGGAGTGTAGAGGTTGAGGTGGTAACAAGCAAACTGAGGGATGAAAGCTTTACAAGGTATCATGGGGACTGCATGGAGCCCATGCTTGCAGCAAGTCCATTGTGATGGTCATATTTTATTTTCTGTTATTCACTATGGAACTTCCATCCTTTTCTTCCAACAGATCCTGAATCCCAGAGAAAGAGGACAGTACAGAATGTGCTTGACTTGCGGCAGAACCTGGAGGAGACCATGTCCAGCTTGAGGGGCTCCCAAGTAACTCACAGGTGAGGCCTCTGCTCCTAGATTCCCTTTACCTCTTGACCACCAGGTTGATAGTTCCTACTTGGATGCACGGCAACAGTTTATCTGGCCACATTCCATATCAACCAATTCCTGCTAGGAAATCTGCATTTAAAGTCAGAAGATAGAGCATTGCTCATCTCATAACAAGTATGAGATGTTTCATAACGTTGGACTAGGTAGTTTTTTTTAAGGTTGCTGTGGTTCACTGTGACATTTTGCCCACAGACTACCCTTGCTTGTGGACATTTGGCCAAAATGAGATGCTGTTGTGCAGTCATTTTAAATAGTTTGGTTCTGCTGTCTAACCTTGGACATCTTTGTTATATGCTGTGATGTGACCATGCCTAGAGGGAGGTTAGGATGCATCAGGACTGCAGCAGCCAAAGCTTACCGCCCCAAGGGTGCCCCTTCCATACAGGTACTCATTTTGGATTTTGAAGGGGAAAGGGCTGTGTTTCTATTGATTTGGCCTCCACATTTATTTGCTGAAGCTTGGTTCTTTCCACACTAATTCCAATGGGAGACTTGGCAATCCAGTTACAGTGTTTTCCCCTCAAGTGGGGGTAGATAGTGGTCAACAGATTGAGGGTGAATACCAACAAGACTGAAGTACTCTTTCTGGGGGAGGTGTGGGCAGGTGTGAGGGATTCCCTGGTCCTGAATGGGGTAACTGTGCCCCTATCTGTTTATTGAACTTAGTGTGGGTATTCAGGGAAGAATGAATTTGCACTGTGGGATTCAACATCATGTGTGTGCTCCTTGCTTCAAAGGTTGCTTTTAAACACCTGTTTAGCATTGGTTAGATGAGTCCTGCTTACACTTCCTGAGAGATTTGAATGGGGTGGTGCACATATCCAGAGAGAGGTGTAGCATCTTATTTCACAAAGTACGCCTGTCCCTTTAAGGGCAGCAATTGCATTAATGCCACGTGGTGGAATTGTCCCAGCAAAGCCTCAGTCCTGGACTTCCCTTTCCTCAGACCAGGGCACTGGCAGTGGCCTCTCTGTAATAAAACTTTCCCTTGGCTTTCCACTGTCCAAGTGAGCTAATGCAGTGACAGCAGCTTTTCAGACCTCCAGTGAGCAAACCACAGCAATGTTTTTGTGTGTATCTATATCATTGTAATTTGGCAGGAGAGAGAGAGAGAAGTTGGCTGGCAAGGTGAGCTCATTCCTCAAGCTGAGCACATGGAATTTGTGATCAGGCTGTCACTCAGCACGAGGGAAACAGGGACACTCCCCTTCTGCTTTTGGTCTCTGAGGTTCTAACTTTTGCTGGGATCCTAAAACTACATCCCTGAGTTTTGCCTAGGGAAGCTAACAAGGAGACTTGAGAGGATCTCTCATAAGAATAGTCAGTACGGAAAGGTGTGGGAAGACTTCTGGCAGTACAACCTCTGCTTCAGATGATGACACCAGCTCCTTTCCTACAGAATCACCCCGTGGCTGTAACTTCCTGGTTTCCAACAGCCTGTGCTTGAACTTACTGAAAGCCACTTGGAAACACTTGCTGCTTTATGCTTAAATCCAAATATTAATGCTGCTTATCAGCTGTTTATAAATAATGTACTACACCAGCTGAATGCAAGGGAAGGTTGCTGTTCTTGAAACAACCACCCCACCCCACCCGCACTGCTGCTCATCTTTCTCTCCCCGTCTTTTATCACCCTCCCCACAAAGATTTTGGTTGATGATGCACACTGCAGAACAAGAGTCTCCTGCTGCCTGCCTCACTCAATTCAGGCTGGGAGATGCCAGATGAACCCCACCCAGATGAGTCACTGCAGCATGGGGATCCAGCAAGGGAGGAATGCTGGTTTGCTTCCAGTTGATTTGCTTTGCTAAATGTGGAGATGTTGGATCAGGGGAGATTGCTTCATGGAAGGAATCCAAGGCATTAGTTATTCATAGAGGAAGGCTGGACTTGGGAGAGCTGGGCTAGCCAAGACGCAAAGCGAGGTAAAAAAGCATAAGCTCCCTGGGAAACCAGGGGAGGGGGGTGGGAATGGAAGCTCAGAATGCACAGGGAACATAGGAACACAATCCATATCATGGGAGGTGTCTGTGTGTACATATGACCACACGTTTCTGCAAAAGAAGGTTAAAAGGGTGCATTTGAGCCCATGCCCACCAGGCACCTGCTCTTTCATCCATTATCTTTTACCTGGACTTTATCCAAGGTGCTCAGAGCATACAGCAACTCTGAGAGTTAGGTTAGGCTGATCACAGTGAGTGTTATGGTTGACTGAGGATTTGAACCTTGGTTTTGTGGTCTTAAATTCTAGCCACTATACCCAGTGTCCAGAAGACTAGTTCTGAAAATCCAGTGATCACACATTGCCCCAGGTTCAGTGTATACCTTTTATGCTTTCCCCAGCTGATTTCACTACTTTGAGCTCTCTTGTCTCAGACCAGGGACATTTGATGCTCCAGATATTGTTGGGCTCCCTCAGTCCTAGTCTGATGTTGCTGGACTCCAACTCTTACCAGTCCTGGCCAGCATGGCCTATGGTCATAGGTTATGGGAACTGGAGTCCAACAACATCAGAGAAGCCTCAGACTCCCCATCTCAGCCTTAAGGTATAATAATGTACTGGGCTCTGCCCATCTGTCTCTGCTTAAGTGGAATCTTTGCCGCCTAACTCTCCAGCCAATTTGTCAATGTGAGATCACAATCAGTCCTGCCTGTTTCTTCCTTGTTGTTTTTCATTTTAATTAGTAGATGTTGTTGAGCCTGAAACCAACATGCTTCATCCACAAGTAAGCACCACTGTGTCTCTCTTAGACCATATCAGGAGCAACTGGTGGGCCATCACTTGGTGACTTAACCTTAGTGACCTTGTGACATGAGGAAGCACAGACAGTCAGGAGGAGTGGTCCTATACCACTTTAGCCTATGTTGACATGAACACATGCAGGAGAGGCAAGTTCCATTCATTGACACATGGTCATTAGAATGCCTGAACAGAACCCTATGCATATCGCTCTATTAATGGGGTCTCTTTTCAGGAGTTCTAACGAATTCCTGTAGGTTGGGTGGAACCTGCTGTTTGATGCCACCTTCTCCCCCCCCCCTTTCCCTCTATGTTTGCTATAGTGACTGAAAAAGGGTGCATGCATCTTCTCTTAGTTTGTCTGTTTTGCGGCTTGCTGTTTAATGCAGCCACTATAATGTTGTTGTTAGGACTTGAGTCTTGTTGTATTGGTTGCTGGAATGGTTTATTTTGTTACTTAGTTTTCGTTCTTTGCTCATTTTTGAAATGAACCTGGATTATGGATTATGGAATAATGTACACACACACACCTGGTGTGAATCAAATGTTGAATGTGGTACCCACAGAAAACAATATTTATTTCTTTATTAAATTTGTATACTGCCCTTCCCTACAATTTTGTCTTTGTTCTCACTGAGGTGGTATACCTGTAGAAAGCTGTAGCTTTTTAAAAAAGAATTGAGGACTACTTCAGCTAAATCTCAGATAAATCCAGGTTTAATCACTTCTTGTTCGGTATTTCTCTTGGCAGAGCTCTCTGCCTAAAAACTTGTTGTTAGTGTAAACCAGTCCTAAACTAAGAATACAGCATTATTTGTAGGTTGGAATCATTGGGGAAGCAAATTAAACAAAGCAAAACAAGACGTGTGTGTGTGTGTGTGTGTGTGTACAATGCATAAAATAGCACATTACATTGTGCTATGATCTGCCACACCTATGCTTTCACCAAAAGATTAAACCATAAAATAGAAGAATATAGCCTGCAATTAGAACTAAATCATAGGGTGCCAAAGTGAGCAAAGATCACAGGGACTTAGAGAGCAAGGATTATATTTGGCAAGATAACACACAGGTGATTCAGTCTTGACCTGTCCTCCACCTCTAGTATTGACATTTTTGCAGGGCTAGATCCTGTCCACTCAAAGCCTGGGTTAGAGCAACGCATTCAGGAAAACTAGATGGAAGAGTTCTTCCTGGATTGTACCAGTTCATACTGCAGATTGCGGCAGGGGTCATGTTTTAGATATTTCCTTCTGTAAATAACTCGCTGCATGTTGAAAACTAGCATTTCCTGCCAACATTTCTGCCTGAGAACCCAGAGAACCTCTGCCAGTCGCATACCCTCCAGACATTGCTGACTGGGACTGTTGGAAGTTGGAGTCTAACAACATCTGGCAGGTACCTTGTTGGCTAACCCTGAAACAGACAATTCTGGGATGGACTAGTAGTATAAGGAAACTTTCTTCGTTCCTAATTTGACTCATAGTGTAAATAGGCTGATATTTTGTTTTCTTAGTGTATTAATAGCTATTTTTTGTTATTATTGTTTTTAAGTCATAGTAAGAACTGCCAGCCATTTGTTGAACACAATTTTATTTTGGAAGTAGCAAATGATGGTGAACCTGGTAGCTTCCTTGATTAGGCTTCTTAAACAATGTCACCTTGTTGTATATCAAATCTCTGTTACTAGAATTAACTTCCTCTTTCAGAGCCTTGTTCTTCAAAGCAGCTGCTATTTGAGGATCTGCAATCAGCACCAGTGCAACAGGAGCCAAATTTAACCCACTTCTTATTAATGCTGTGGGTCCCATACACTCCTCTTTATGCCACACTGCTAAAATTAGCCACTCCAGGTTGCAGTGGTGCGATTCTGTTACTGAGAGTTGGAGCTTGATGCCTGATCATCAGGTCTGGAGTTCTTGAAAAGCAACGTTTGATATTAATGTAAATCTTCAGGCTGGGAGGAGTGTTGCATACTGTGTTGCTGTGTGCACCTCTGCCAGCAGGAGGCACTCGGTGATGAGGGAAGTTATTCAGATCTACCAGCCACAGTAATGTAATACTTTTATTCAGACCAAATAAAATGTGGCAAAGTAGCTAGCAAGCTTTTGAGTTCTCCGGAACCCTTCTACGGGCTGAATGTTAAGCAAAAGAGAAGCAAAGGAATCGAGGGGAGAGGAAGCCAAAAGGCTTTCATTTTGCAACAGTCTCTTTTTTTTAAAAAAAAAATATTTATTGCTTTTACAACAATTTAAACACTTACAAAGGAAAAAACAAAGAAAAAACAATACACAATACATTATAATACACAAACACTACATACAAATTAACAAAACAAAACAGAAACAATTTAAAAACACATCAAAAGATAGAAGAAGAAAAAAGAAAAAGAAGAAAAAAAGAAAAAACTTCCAATATCTTATCTTTCTTTCCCATATTTCCACGGCCTCCTCACACCTCCCTTTTTGTGTTCCACTTCTATTAATTATTTCAGCAATTCCTTACCATCTTCCCCTGTTTTCTATCCTATAATTATCTTAACATCTTTTAACCTTATTTTCCTCTAATGCTCTATTAATCTATTTATACTTAATTCCTTATAACATTTCCACTAAAGCCATATAATTTCATTCTAACATTCTTCTAACATTCATTAATTTTACAATATTTCTATAAATAGTCTTTAAACTTTTCCCAGTCTTCTTCCACTGACTCTTCTCCCTGGTCTCGGATCCAGTTTGCAACAGTCTCAAGATGAGTGCAGAAAGCATTTTGCAGGCTTAATTAGATTGGAGTGTGCAATATTTATTAATAAATTACCATAGGTAGGAAACAAGTTTTTGGCTGCACCAACGACTATTTGGGCTAAGAAACTGCAATGGCTGGCTGCCCCCCCCCCTTTTAAAGCAGCAGCTACTCAGATCAGCCTCTGGGAATAAGCAAATCACAAGTGTCCCTTTAGAGGCAGAGAATACAAGTCTGAAGAAACGTAGCACATTTTATTTTAACAAAGCTGGAGATTAATTTTAGGTGATTCACTAGATGAAGAAGCAGTAGAGGTCAAATTGGACTGGATTGCCTGGTGGCTGGAGGGGATGTATGCTCCAAAAGTGGAGCCCGCCTTTGCGTGGTAGGAAGTCAGCTTCATCCAGTTTTAGAATCTCTTTCCTGGGCACCTACGTTTGGTATTCTGCAAAACACTCTACCATTCCCCATGTTCCAGATCAAAGTGTAGGGGCATTTCCCTCTCGGGATGGCCTGGAAGGTGTTCTGAGCATAATATTGGCAGGTTTCCCCACCAAATTAAGAAGGCAATAATTTTTTCCCCTTTAAAACACTCACACCCCACATTTAATTTCAGTTTAATACAATGTTTGTGCATCAGTGTAATTATTGAAACCATGTCTGCAGGGCTTTGTAGGCTGAGCTCCATCTCTCCCGGAGCTGTGAATCCATTCCAGAGATGGTTTTAATCATCGCTTTGTATTTGATGTCCAGTAACTGCTTTTATTGAATCTAAATGAAAGGCATGCCTGGAGCTGGGGCATCAGCAAGGGCCATTAACTCTCATGCTTGCCTTTATTTGTAATGGAAACACAACACCCTTCACTGCTGTGTTGAAAAAAACCCTTCACGTTCCTTACACACTGCTTTCCAGGTCTGCCTTTCAGATCACAGTGGGTAGGGTGGGGTGAGGGAGGGAGGGAAACTTGAATTCTGAACTTGCTGGATACTCAGTGGCAGACTATCTGCTTTGCATGCAGAAGGAACTAAGTTCATTCCCCGGCATCTCCAGATGGGGATGTCGCCTGTGTGAAAACCTGGAGAGCAGCTGCCAGTTAGTATAGTACAGAATAATACCAAGGTGGATGGACCAGTGGTCTGATATAAATCACCTACCTGTGTTTCCAAGTTCTGTAATGCAAAGCGTAGAAGTGCTGTTATCCAGCTGGATCAGGTGAACATGTGCCCTCCCAACTGTATTTTAACCTTTGCTTGATAGTCACACAAGTGCGCATTGAAAGACAATAGTGTGACACTCAGTTCACACACAATGGATTTGAATCAAAAAGTTATTGGCTAGTAGGGAAACTTGAGTGGAGAACTGGCACCATTCAGGTGGTACTATCCAGGAGCTCACACGGCCAAATTTCACACCGCACTTCCATTGCAATCCTACAGTGGTGAGAGAAGCTATGCTTATCTGGAATTCTTCCTTCCTATGCAGCTAACTAAAAGTACTTGAGCTCAGTCCTGTGCTGTAGCTGGCAACCTGTTAGAGAAAGAGGGCAAGTAAGACCAATAATGCGGAGCGAGGGACTCACCTGCTGCTGAGGGCCTGAAGGGCCTTGCCTGCCTCCTTCCATCTGGGCAGAGAGGGCTCCGTTTTTGTTTTTTAAATTGCTTTTATTTTTTATCTTTGTCATTTTAAATTGTAATTGATATTAATGCTGTATTCTTAGTTTTAGATTTTATGATTTATGTGGAAATTGTTTTCCATTTGGTTGTGTACTTTTTATTGCTTATGACTTTTGTTACATTGGTAATTATGTAAATCTTGTTATGTTGTAAGCCGCCTTGAGCATTGTTTTAACTATGGAAAGGCGGCATACAAATAAAATGATGATGATGATGGTTGCCTGTATAGTGGTACCTCAGGTTAAGTACTTAATTCGTTCCGGAGGTCCGTTCTTAACCTGAAACTGTTCTTAACCTGAAGCACCACTTTAGCTAATGGGGCCTCCTGCTGCTGCCACGCCGCCGGAGCACAATTTCTGTTCTCATCCTGAAGCAAAGTTCTTAACCCGAAGTACTATTTCTGGGTTAGCGTAGTCTGTAACCTGAAGCATATGTTACCTGAAGCGTATGTAACCTGAAGTACCACTGTACTTTCTCAGCACCCACATTCAGCCTAGTGCAGTGCTCAGTCTGTGCTCCTGCCTGACCAAGACTTAAAATTTTGAGTGCATCTTTGTTACAGGTGTTCTGATTTTCAGGAGTGCCCTGACAGAATCTGCCCACCTTCTTCCACTTCTAGCCCTCAGACATTTCTCTCTGCTCTATTCCTGCAGCTCGCTGGAGATGACATGTTATGACAGCGACGAAGCCAACCCCCGCAGCGTGTCCAGCCTGTCCAACCGCTCCTCTCCCCTCTCTTGGCGCTATGGTCAGTCCAGCCCCCGCCTACAGGCTGGAGATGCCCCTTCAGTGGGTGGGGGATGCCGCTCGGAAGGCACTCCCAGCTGGTACATGCACGGGGAGCGAGCTCATTATTCCCACACCATGCCCATGCGCAGCCCCAGCAAGCTCAGCCACATTTCCCGCCTGGAGCTTGTGGAGTCGCTTGATGCTGATGACGTCGATCTCAAATCTGGGTACATGAGTGACAGTGACTTAATGGGCAAGACCATGACTGAGGATGATGATATCACCACAGGGTGAGTACCGCTGGGGTGCATCAAACATTCAACTCAAGAGTTGATTGCTTAACATCAGACATAGACTGTAGGAGGTTCCATTACCAGCCGCAACTGAAGCATCTGTATCAAGCTAAGAATTTGCTTGTTTGCCCAACTGATCTTACCTTAAGTATTCCTCTGCCTTAGCAAAACCGCTTCTGTGATTCCCCCCTCCTCCAGCTTCCTGAATATTCATAATGGTTGCCATTATGATAAATAGTCATAACTTAACAAACCACTTGTGGCAGATAGCAAGTTTAAAAACTGACAAGACAGTGTATCCAACTAAGTCGCTGGAGAGAACAACGTATTATTTGTTGGCTGGAGGCATGACATACAGCGCTTCTGCAAAGCAAATACCCACTCCTTGCTTGTGACAAAACCTGCTTCTACAAAACAAATATTTGTTGCTGCCTTGAGGCGAGCTAATTCTGTTTTACAGAGGGATGAAATGGGATGGGTATCTGGCTTAAACTAGATACTTACATTTAATATAAGCAGGCTCTGGCCAGAATTTTCAATCTTTGCTTGCTGTGAAGGAATTCTGTAGTGGGGGGAAGAGAGAGACAGAGAGCAGGTTGGTTGGCTGGTAGGGCTAATGGCAGAGGATGTGCTCAAGGATGAATAGATAGCTAGTTAATGGGGAGGAATGAATAGCTGGAAGTTCTGTTTGTAGTGGCATCCAAGGTAGATTACAGAAATTATCTCTTCTGTCCTGGATTTGTTACCTCTCGTTTCAACGCAGCTGTTTCACATGCAAGTCAGTAACAGATGTCTGGTATACACAATAGCTCTGGATATACCTCTTTAAAGCATATTTTCCAGACAGGGAATCAGATAAGGAAAGAACATAGAATTTGACTAATAACTACCTCTTGATGGGAAAGGTCTTGCTCAATATGATGATCTTGCTTGTTGTGTTTCTGCCAATTCATCCAGCTGCGCGGAGTCCATTGAACTGATAGAATGTTTCCAGTCACCACCACCCTATTCCGACCCTAAACACTTTACTTGAAATGAGATTGACTTCTGTACAGTGTTTTAAGACTTGATTTCCCACTAGCTAGCTCTGTTGCTGCACACAGAGCTGCCCTTGATAAGCGGTGCCGAATGGGTTGCTTGGCTTTCTTGGGAATATTTCTTCACATTGTTCCAAAGCGTAGAACTGATCAAGCAGCAGCAACTTCTTCTTTTTAACTGAAAGTCATGTATTTTCTACTGACGTGAAACCAGCCAGTGCAGCACGAACATGTAAAGGTAAAGGTACCCCTGCCCGTACGGGCCAGTCTTGACAGACTCTAGGGTTGTGCCCTATAGGCCGGGAGCCAATGCTGTCCGGAGACACTTCCGGGTCACGTGGCCAGCGTGACAAGCTGCATCTGGCAAGCCAGCGCAGCACACGGAACGCCGTTTACCTTCCCGCTGGTAAGCGGTCCCTATTTATCTACTTGCACCCGGGGGTGCTTTCGAACTGCTAGGTTGGCAGGCGCTGGGACCGAACGACGGGAGCGCACCCCACCGTGGGGATTCGAACCGCCGACCATGCGATCGGCAAGTCCTAGGCACTGAGGTTTTACCCACAGCGCCACCCGTGTCCCTGATACACGAACATGTAGGGCTGCTAAATCATAAGTTGGTGGTCTTGCCTTTACCTTCAAAATTCTGAGATGGAAGAAGAGCAGACACTGCAACTCCAGCCCACTGTTTTATCAGTTCTTCCCCCTACACCGCCAACCTACCTATTCCTACTTCTTAAGAGTATTATGGAGGAGAATGTACAATGGAGCAGGGTGAAAGAATGAGAAGGGAGGTGATACAGTTGCATCCTCTCATGCTGCCTCATAACTTTTGAAGGTAGGATCTCCAGGTTGTGATCTGGCAGCTGCATCCACATAGAGCTTGCTGTAAGGAAGTACTGTATACGCACACACCGATTGTAACTTTTCCATGCAACTTGCCCCATGTTAATAGGACACAAGCTACATCTGAAAAGCAGCAGCAACAATAACAACAACCCAGAACGTTATAGAAATCCTTTGCCAACAATGCAAAGCTAAGCTCTTTAATAATGTTTTTCTACACCATGGCTTATCAGTATGCCGCTCTCATTATTTTTTTATGGAGAGAACCTCAAAGATCTGAGCCTGTCATTTATTTATCTCTCATATTTTTTGGTGAGTTGGGCCTGGCATCCCACCAAGGACACTTTAATTTACATATCTTTTTAAGAAAGCACGCCCCCAAAAGTGCAAGTAGATTAATAGGTGAGAAGGTAAATGCTGTTTCCGTTTGCTGCTCAGGTGTCGATGTCCCTTTACCTTTTTAACCTGGGTAAAACTGGCCCACACTAGGGTCTGAGATAAGCAAACACAAAGGAGGGATGCGTCCTTTTTCACCCAGTATAATGACAGAAACTGAGTTGGGTTCCAGGCTGGAGTGGCTTGTTGGATAGCTCAGAAACAATAATAATACCATGGCTACCTGACCAATCCAGAATGAATCTGGAAAATTAACTTCTTTTAGAAATCTATAGTTACATGCTTAAGTGGTTATTTCTAAAACATGCCCAAGGTCACCAGAGACCTCCTGGGTGTTTGACATGTTGATTGCAGCTTGGGAGCACTGATAAGTGAAGTTATGCTAAGTCTGGATGTGTACAATACCACAAAAGGGTCATTGCCCCCTTGTTTTCTGTGAATTTGTAAATGTGACATTGGTTGCCCCATTGTTGTATTCTTGTTAGTTTGAATATTATACCCTGAATTGTTAGGTCGTTTGGAAATGAAGGGCGTTTTGCCTTGTTTTCTCTTGGCTTCTCACCCCCTGCTGCTTGAGAGAGATGGAAATTCACAGAGTGAGATATTATGTCATGCGTTTTCCATTTATCATTGGAAGGATTTTAAAAGTCCCAGAGCTCCATTGAGGGGAAGGGGTGTAGACCTGGGCCTAAAAATACTCACTTGTCATGGAAAGCTACGCTACAGAGTCCTTGTTAATTCCACAGCTCTGGTCTGCAGATGTGTAATCGTGACAAGCCCCAAGTCCATCTGTGAGGCCTCTTAACATTGCTATTACTGGAGTATTAAAATAATGGAGCTTACTGCTAACAGGATGGATCTGAGCGGAGCAAGATACTGTGGGGCTGGGGTAGCAGAATCCATATGAGTAAATAAAAAGACTGTTTCTTATCAGGTAAAAAGTAGCCTCAGTTTAGGATTGCCAACTTTTTTGGGGGTCCTAATTTTGGTCCCCCAACAACAACCAGATATATGCAAGTTTAAGCAAGTGAAGTTTCCCCCATCCATGCTAGGAAAAGCCTCATGCATGTTAGGTGTTGAAGACATATCCTTTACACATTGACCTGATTCTCACATCACTTTAACCCTTAGTTAAATTAAACTCTGGTTTAAATGCAGCACATGCATGTGAGCACTTAGTTCCTTCTCTGCTCCTGTTGTTGCCTATTGCATGCTGGGAAATAAGCCATGGTCTGGTGTAGCATGCATCTCGACCCGGGCTCGTGATTTGTTTTTCTTCAATCAAACCATGAACAATACCGTATTTTTCCCTCTATAACACGCAGATTTTTTCTCCTAAAAAGGAAGGGGAAATGTCTGTGCGTGTTATTGAGCGAATGTGTGGTCCCTGGAGCCAAAAAATCGGGCAAAAGTCAAATTGTGAGTCACGGAGAAGGGAAACCTGAAAAGAGGAAGTGGCTGCTTTCCTGCATTCTGCCTCAGGGTCTTACTGCCCACCCTCCTCTGTTTCGTTGCTGTGATTGCTGAAACGGAACAAAGAGCAGGGAAAGCCCCTCCCCTCCAGGCAAGCAGAGTGTCGTTCTTTCTAATTCCTCTCTGTGCTCCGGTGCTGCTGGGGGAGAGGGAGAGAGAGTGGGGGAGGGAGAGGGAGAGGGGGGAGGGAGGGAGGGAGAGAGAGAGAGAGATGGCTGGCTTGGGGGGGAACTTTTGCCTTTCTTTCCTCCCACCCGTTAAATCCCTCTCCAGCATTCTTAGTCAGCTGCTTCTCTGCACACCCCTCTCATGTCCCTTCTTTGTTTTTCCTTCGCTCCCCACTTAAAATGTGGTTACAAAGCATAGATCAACATGGATCCTCAGGATGTTTGCATTGGGTCACCCCAAATTCACCATCAGATCACATAGCATGTCCATGGCTACAGCCTGCCCCCCCAAAATCACGCACCCATTGTTGCCTGGGGCTGCAATGGTGCAAAACGTGGTTAAAAAGCATGGATCCACATGGATCCTCAGGATCTTTGCATTGGGTCACCCCAAATTCACCATCAGATCACATAGCATGTCCATGGCTACAGCCTGCACCCAAAAAATCACGCACCCACTGTTGCCTGGGGCTGCAATGGTGCAAAACCGTGGTTACAAAGCATGGATCCACAGGAATTCTCAGGATTTTTGCATTGGGTCACCCCAAATTCACCATCAGATCACATGTCTGTGGCCACAGCATGAAGCACAAAAATGATACATCCACTGTTTCATTCAGAATGTTTTTTCCCTTGTTTTCCTCCTCTAAAAACGATGTGCGTGTTATGGTCAGGTGCGTGTTATAGAGCGAAAAATACGGTAAGTAACCAAGATTTGTTAATGGCTTACTGCTTGTGGTTTGTTGGTGGGCGGCAGGGGGGACGGGACCATGAGCCTGGGTTTCATGTAATACTAAGCTCTAGAGTCCAGACCATGGCTTAGCATCCAGGAAGGCACCTGAGATTTCAGCAACCTGCACCAGAACTCTGTGCACTCAGATTTAAACCATAGTGTCATTTAATTTTGACTTCAAGTGAAGTGAGTTGACGGGGCTGGTTAAAATGCTGGACCCATTTCTTTTCCAAAGGATTCCTGATAGAAAATGAGGGCACTAGTAATCCTGATTATAAGAATTATAAGTAATCCTATAATATAAGAATTTGAGCTTACATTAGGCTTGGTGGTTTGCTCACACAGGTA